CTTCTCAATAACCAAAAGGCCCAGGGTACTGATATTGGGCCTGTAGCATGCTGGGATGAAGGACTATCAAGTTTGTTCAACTGAATGACCTTGACCAACTTTCAAGGTCACAGGGGTCAAATGTCGTAAAATCTTCAAGCGACTTCTTTTCAATAAGCAAAAGGGCCAGGGTACTGAAATTGGGCCTGTAGCATGCTGGGATGAAGGACTACCATGTTAGTTCAAATGAATGACCTTCATCCACTTTCAACCTAATGTCCTTGTTCGACAATCAAGGTCAGAGGCGTCATGTTTAAATCTTTTATAGGTTCTTATGAAATCTTAAGATTACAAGTGTTAGATTAATAACAGGTGAGCGATGCAGGCCCATTGGGCCTCTTGTATGTTTATTAAGACTACAAAAAGGAATCTCGATGAGGTTACAGTTTACTTATACCACATTTGATTGGTTGTGTAGGGAGAGTTCTGACGAGCCAGTTTACTTATACCACATTTGATTGGTTGTGTAGGGAGAGTTCTGACGAGCCAATCTACGAGGAGATCAATGAGTGCCTGGAGCCCCTGTTGATGGGGGATAACAGTCTACATGTGGTCAAGGAAGAAGTCATGAATAAATCGGCTGACAATGTGGCCAGGGTACGTACTTAAATTTCTGGGAAGGAAGGGAAGACACATACTCTTTTTCTTGGAGGAGATGGGGTACATAATATTTTCGTGAAGTGGCCATGGGCACGGGGGGGGGGGGGATGCAAATTTAGATTTATATATGATAATTCACTTTTCTGTAGAACTTCACACGAATATGGCCTGACAACAAATGCAAGTTATCATAGTCTGGTACAACACGACTTTCCATTATGATTAAACACACTGTTCAAAGCAATTGATGTTTGACAGTAATGTACGATATGTTCAAGGGAGATAATTGGAATTTCAAGGTTTGGCTGTAGAGATATCAATTCAGATCCTAATTCTGTCATTCACATCTGTTTGGTACTGGGGGACCACATGAGATGCGTGCGCAGCTTCATTATTCATTATTCATTATTCGCTATTTCCTAATTTCGCTTTAGCTCATCTGGTCCAAAGACCCAAGTGAGCTATGACTTGATGGCACAGCATTCTGCATGAAATTTTCTTTTTAAATGGCTACAAATTGTGGAGAGTGTATTTACATTACATTGTTATTGTTGGAGCAAGATTCTTTGCATGGTTTAGACATAATTTGAGATTGGAAAGTCCGGCTTTAGACAGTGTACTACAGTCCCGGGAATTTCAAGTTCTGAGTTAATTTGGCATCGAGCATCCCATGTGCAATAATGTTGGGTATGATGGGGTAGAACCATTCCCAAAAGTGTAAATGGGAGTTTATCTTGGTGGTGGAAAGATTTTGACCTAATTTGGTATGGAGCATTGGCACAACCCATTCGAAAACAGGCGAAACTTGAAAGAATACATCTGATTTTAATTCTTTGGGTTACCAGGTAGTAAGAAATCTTAGGTGGCGATCATGGTCTCAGTTTGGTAGAAACATTTCAACTTGTGTGGTTCATCATGTGCCTTAAGAAACGGGTGAGGGATGAAGGCCCAATGGGCCTCTTGTTTGTTGATGCGCTATCATTAATACAAATAAATAAATTGTTTGAAGGTTCTGCCTAAGTGTGAACAGCGCCGTCGGCGAGGTAACAAACCTCACTGTCACATAGAAAAGGTGATGATCTGGAACGAATACGAGGCGTACGTCCTACAAGTCAAACAGATTGGCACCTCGGCATGTGGTCCCACGGCAGTACTCAACGTCATGGTGAGTATAATATTACTAGTGTCTGCACAATATTGATTCCCACTATATTTGGATCAGGTTCGCGATGGATAGATTAGAACAATTGGTCGTTTATGTAGGTGTTTGTTTTTAGGAAATTCAGATTAAACAAACTGCTTTACAAAATGGTGGAACAACTTTGATCATGTGAAAAATGTTAAGGTTATTTTTTCCATCAAGTGAAAAAACCAAATAGAAACCAATAGAAAATTTCCGTTAACATTTTTAAAAGTTTGGATTGTTTGTTTGTACGTCCTATTAACAGCTATTGTCATTTAAGGATGTGACAGGTTATGGGGTGGAAAACCAAAATAGCCAAAATTGACCCCTCCCACCACATAGGCCTCATGCCCGCAACCCACTGGTGGAGGGATAATGATCGTAGACAGTCCGACGTCATAACCACTCGGCCACCGCAGCCCCATTTGAAATTGACATTGAGACATAATACATTCCAGATCACTGTAACAGTATGAGAGAAAAGCCTTAACAGCTTCCAGTTTGGAAAATTCTGCCTAAGTGTGCTGTTGGTGTTATGTTCTGATAAAACATTTTGAGTTGGTAGGAATATTTCGGAGCAAATGTCCTTGTTTCCTTTTGATCTCTAGCTAGCTACATTAATGGTTGTGTTTCACTTTGACAGAAAGCGTTTGATTGTCAAGTAGACAAGGAGGAAATCTGTAAGACCATCCTGGCCAACTTAAGGATGGAGGGAGCACCCATACCATACTACCTCTTCTCTAGATCTGCCGCAGGTAAGTAAACCTTACTACCTCTTCTCTAGATCTGCCGCAGGAAAGTTAAACTTACTACCTCTTCTCCAGATCTGCCACAGGTAAGTTAACCTTACTACCTCTTCTCTAGATCTGCTGCAGGTAAGTTAACCTTACTACCTCTTCTCCAGATCTGCCACAGGTAAGTAAACCTTACTACCTCTTCTCTAGATCTGCCACAGGTAAGTGAACGTGTCAATGCTCACTGGGCAACAGAAGCCTTTTTGTTTATTTATTTAGACAGAATTTTTTTTCTTACTCTGGACAGGCATATCCACATTTTCTCAGTCATGACAATTGCATGACATCATATGTCAACAAGGCATTGAAGCATGACAACAGTGGGGACTATTAATTTCGGTTTCAGTCCCAGATTTTGACCTCTGTTGCCTTGCGCTGTTGAGAGCTTGCTTCTGTCGGAAATATCATAAAACCTAAAGGCGTTCCAAATTTCACACGGGAATTACATATATATATTATATATAACCTAAAGATGTTCCGAGTATGAATCAGGAACATTTGAGGTTCAAGAAGGGAGTAAACTGTCATATTATAAATTGCTATTGACTGATTTAGATATTTTATGTCTGACCAACGACTACCGTTAATATTTGCGTAAAGTGCACACTTTTTTAAGGAAAAATGAAGTGTCAAGAAAAGGGTGTACACGATACTCAAAAACAATCCAAAACCAGTCCTTGATCGCGACCATTCATCTTAAATTTTTCGAGGATTTTCAGAAATGTTTTGAAATATGCTCGCAGCAATAAACTGCTCAATTTCGTTGAATAAAACCCTGATTGCATTGCTAATTTAACAATTACGAAAGGTGCAAGTTTAAGTCATATTATACGATTGAATCGAATAAACAAACCCGAGTAAACTTAGGCCCAACTGTTCAGGACGTTGCGTTGTGAATTGATAAATACCACGTTTGGGGAAACATAACGAAGAATTGCATCATATTTAGCACTCTGGGGTTAAAATGTCGTTCTTGGGTATGTGTCAAAACGACATGGGTAAAATGGCGAAGTTGGCAAGTTGTGTACCGCAAAGAGTGCAGATCGCGTGATACTATTAACTGGCAGGAATTTACAAGGTGACATCCATGCGACTTGAACAGATAATGATAAAAGTTTGAGTTTGAAAAATAAATATTAACGGGTTCAAAACAGCCAAATACATTCCGATGTTTTCTTTTCAAAGGAGAATTGCTGAAATCACAATTGTTTGGTGTTCTTCATGTCTCGCGAATTCTGATGTTGGTGGTCCTCGTCGGAACTGTTTGAGTGACTGCCTTTAAGTGGTACACACTCCTCGATATCGATGACCGATTCAGTCGGATTTGCAGACGATCAGAAAACTACTTGGAAAAGTATATTTCATTACAAAAAAAAGTAAAAGATTTATCCGTATATATGAATCTTTTCTGAAACTTATTGTTGTGAAATAAACATCGTTATATTCCAATTACCTGATCTGCCCATGCCAGGTGACCGTATGCGTATCAGCGCGCAGATCTCCCCGTATTTAAGGTGTTGGTCAACGCTAACGTTATATTTGCCACATGCTTTCTTATTAATTCCATGTGTTGGCATGGCTAGCTGAACTATTTACACCTGGTCATTGTTTACCATTTTGATTGACATGTCAAAATTTATCAGTTGTAGCTTGGTCAATGATTTATCGGGCAATGATCATACAGAATGATGGGGTGACTTTCATGTCATTCTGACAAATTTCTAGTTTTGTTTTACCCCCGGGGTGAGGGAGGATTATATCAATCTTATAAATGTAACATTTCTGCAGTAAAATGTAAACATTATGGCAGTTGTTGTTTAAAAATGTGTTGTATTCTAGGCACAACAGCTGAGAATCTACTGGAAGGAGTGGAAAAGTTAACGAAGGGAGTCATCCGTGGCCGCTTCTTCAGTTTCTACCCGCCACGCAAAGTGGAGCTCCTCAAGTGGCTTGGCTACTGGTTGAAGAAAGGTAACTGTTTTGTTCTAAGTGTTTTTGGTGGCTTTGTACCAGCCAAGGATACAATTTTCGCATTCAGTATATACAGCTGATGTCATATCGAGTCCACACAACCTGGGCCCGTATTCATGAAACCGTTCTCGTGCTCAAGCCTGGATTTTGTGCTCCAGTCTAATTTCTTGTTCCAGTTATAAATTATTCAAAAAATCCTTATTTTGTTAAAGTTTTGGACAAAAAATGAAGAAACTAGAAGCTGAATACTGTTTTCAATATTTAAATTTGACTTTTTGATCGTTGACATGATTTAGGTGGGTTACAAGAAAGCTGGCTTGAGCACAGAATCCATGCTTGAGCATGAGAACGATTTCATGAATACGGGCCCCGCTATCTGGTCGACTTGAGTTCCATATGGCATCAACGAATCTGTATGTTTTAATAATTCCTAAGTGAGTGGTCCAATGATGCAGTGGAAAGCGCACTCACTTTTTACCAAAATGGCTGGGGTTTGGTTCCCAATGCAATCGACATGCAAAAGGTATTGGGTCGCCTGCCTGACCACGTGGGGATTCCCCAAGTTTCTTTTAACATTAAGACCTCCTGTGCGCTAACATCTGGGCCAACAGGAGTGATTAATATGAGTCGATATAATTTGTTTCATAATTGTTAGACAGTAAAGTTAACGTTATTATATGACCTTACTCATGTAAAGTGAGAGATTTTATATTAAAGAATTTCCAAAGTTTATTTTGAAAACAAAGAGTTTGAAGATAATTGGTAAATGTGTGGTTTACCATTACCACATTTAAAAAAAGAAAAATGTATATTTTTTTCCAGATAAAATACGAACGTTATGGAAGAAACAGGTCCCTAAACTCATGATGACTAATTTTATCTAACTATTGTTAGTTAATTTTCAAATAAATTTCAAGATTCACTAACTCAAGTATGAAATTAGATTAACATGATGACCATCTATCACTGGTTTAGGAATCTCTATATGTACAATGTATGGCATTATAAAAATTGTGAATTCAGATTAGAAATCTGATTAAGAGTCCTTTATGTCTTCACAGTGGTAGGAAAATAGTCAAAGTATCGTTTATATAATATTGTTCGAAGAAAAATGAAACTGAAAAAGGACAAACCATTTGTCATTTACCTGCAGACAATTCCCTGTGATGATCAAACACAAATCTCATACAGGGGAGGGAACTATGTCTAAACTGCTAACATTTAAATTCAAATCCTCAAATGTTTATTGCAGATGAGTTGAAACTTCGTTGAAGTATTACAATATTTGTTATTATCTTCAGTGTATTTATGTTAAAGTGGATTTTGCAATACTTGCTTCACCATAATGTTTTTGATGCTGTAGGCGCGGTTCCCATCGCCACTCTGAACCTGCAGCGCGGGGTGAAGCCAGGATGGACAATTCCGGACGCCTGGCATCACCAGATGGTGTACGGAGTCAGCTCAAAAGGTAATGACCACTGGTCAAGCAGCCGAAACTAATACATGAAAAAGAAAGTAATAATATTAAGAGGCAATGAGATCCTGAGCGTTTGAACCACAGTGTGCCGATGTGTTTGACTCTTGATGATGAGACAACTTGTGTAACATCACGCCTAGGACAAGTACATGACGTCACAGACTTATGCACTGGAGTCAAAAGGACAACTTTTTGCTTTTCAAGGTTGCATGAAAATTGTCGAATAAATGCCACAAATCTTGATTATGTGATAAAGAGGATGATCTTACACTCGTTTCCATTTCATATGAAATGGAAATTTAAAGGTTATCGTTAAAGACTATTCACGTTGTACCAAAATACCTTTTCAGTCAAAATTTCAAACTTTCTATTTTAAAATGATAAACAATTCACTTAATAGATTTACCATGGTGCAAACAAATAGTCTGAAAATGTTTATATTCAACAAAAGAGAATGTAAAAACATTGGATGAATATTTTGCTTGGCAAAAAATATTGTAATTCTAACTTAACAAAATGAAAGCAACACTATCTTGCTTGTGAACTAGACAAATATATGGAGTTAACTATAAATTACATGCCATATACTTAATTTAACATCAACATTTTCAAATTTTCAGTTGTGAAGAATTTGACTAGATGTTACAGTTATTCAGTATAGAAATATTTTTATGAACACATATTTCTTGAATCAAGATTTTCAAATATTCCAAATTGCGTGGCGCAGTGGATAACACCACTCGCATTTAACCAAGGCAGCTGTAGGTTTGATTTCCAGACCAGATGTGAAAAGGTATGGGGTCACCTGCGCATTGGTTTTCTGCGGGTACTCTGGTTTCCTCCAAAATTAATGACCCCCTGCACGCTTACAACCGGGCCATTAAGAATTAATAATACAAGTTGAAGTAATTTGTTTCATGATTGTTGTAAAATAAATAAAGTTTAGGTTTTAACTTTAGGTAAGGTATGACATGTACTAATTCTGAGTTTGTGACATCTACAGGGGTATATCTGACCAACCCACTGGAGATTGTTCCTGCAGAGACAATTATGGACCAGTTGACCAGCGACTCAGTTCTGTTGGTCAGAAGACAAGATGTGGTCAACAGGTTTAGGGACTGGGCTCCACTCAACGATTTCCTCAAGCAGAGAGACACACGCTGGCAAACATGGAACGTGCTTGGTAAGTCTCCTCCAAATCTTCGTCTGAAGTCGGCTAAAATTTTGAAATGTTTGTCTGTAAATAGTGAGTCGTTGTGCATTATTACAGAAGGCCAGACTTTCTGAAATTTCTTATGATGATACATTGTGATTATATGCAGATGTGCAATATTGTTTTGAAAAATTCCCAGATCAAGGTCACTGTTACTAAAAATAGAACCAGGAATATACAGTCAAAAAGACATCAGATAAGGGCCTTACAGAAGGCCAAACTTTCTGAAATTTCTCATGATGATACACTGTAATTATATGCAGATGTGCAATAGTGGTTTAAGAAATTCCTAATGTCGCTGTTACTGAAAACGGAATGGGGAATATACAGTCAAAAATACATCATATAAGGCCCTTACAGACTAAAGGCCAAATTTTCTGAAATTTCACAAGATGGTACATGTGCAATAGGTCTTTAAAAAGTTTCAAAGGTCAATGTTGTCGTTACTTTAAACAAAAAACTATTGTAAATGATCCTTTCTGAACAGTCAATGATCACTTTTGCTTTTGCTTGGTGCTTATATGGGAGATACACTGTCAGGCATACAGCGGGGCCCTTGCTGTCCTGTCAGTATTCTAGTTTCAGTACAGTATAACAATCTGGAGTCCAGTGTTCAAATCTCGGTTTAGCCCTGCTGTATTTTTACACTCAGAACACTATTGTTTTGTGTACATTCCATATTTATTAAGATTTCATGAAAATCTCAAAAGATGGGGGGAGGGGGGGGTTCGGAGAAGATTTATCAGAGCTTAACTCATGCCACAAAAACAGTTTCCAATATGAAGTTACATTTTTTGGCAGTGGTACGGGGACCCTTAATCTAAAAAAAAATCCTTTTCTAAATTAAATTTTCGAAATAGTAGAAAAAGGGGTTTAACTCATTCACCCCTGAAGACACATTTTAACTCTTCCAATTCAAAGGTTGGAATGATTCATTATGAAATTTCAGGGATGAATGAGTTAAGCTTACAATGAGCCTTTGGAACACGTTTCATTGTCCATATGGAAAGATTATTAAAATGGTGTTTTTGTGTTCACAGGTCAGGTAGTGAATGTACTACGTGAGGCATGTACAGCGCTGTCACACCAGATCCCGCGACATCGCGCCCAGCTAACCTCCCACATCACCATCCCCGCGGCCTACAAGGCAGGCATCACGCTGTTCGTACGTCAAAACTCTGAGGTTGCTGAGGAGCTCCTCAGCGCACAGGAACTGGAATTGAGGGACGGGTCAGAAATGGAGACAGAAAACTTGAACGGAATGAGCAAGTGTGGCGTGGAATCCGAATTGGACATTACTTGTGCCAGTGCTAGTTCATCCTAGTACCACCATGTACTTCATAACGTACAAATAACTGGTAGTTTCCAGTTAAAATTTATCTTTCTAAGATTTGCTAAACATTACTGCTTATATTATGGTACCAAAATCTGAATTACACAGTCGAAACCCCGGTTGATTGGATACTTAATTATTACTATGCCGTTTTTAAAAGGACCTTTTAATATGAATTCACCTCTTTTTCTATATTCCAACTTCATCTGTTTTTAAACTAATAATCTTACCAGGATACTTTTAATGCTAATGTACGATCGTGAAGGGATGTATTGGCTATGTGTGTATTTATGTATGACTTCAGTGTGTGCGTGTCAGGAGAGGAAGATGTTCTGGCTCTTAAGTATATGTTCAGTTGCGTATCAATTGTGTCTGTCTTGTTCGGAAGACGTTCAGTCCTTTTAGGTATACGTTCTGGAGAGTATGGGTGTTTGTGTTCAGAGAGAAAGTTGTTTCAGCCCTTAGGTACGTTTTCAGCCAAGTGCTGAGTGTTTGCATCGGGAGAGAAGGGTGTTCTGGTCCTAAGGTATGTGTTCAGCCGAGTCCTGAATTTGTGTGGGCAGGAAGACAAGAAAATATTACAGCTCCCAGGCATGTGTTCAGCTGAATCCGGAGTTTATTACGTCCGAGTCCACGCGTTTGTCAGATACTGTAGAAATGCATTACAACTTCATTGAATTAGTGCATTTTTATTTTTTTATTTTTTATTCATTGATGTGGGGACACATGCCACATTTACATATAATTTACATTGTTCCCACTCTTGCCTCATAATGAACAAATCTATATATCTATCTTATTGCAAGCTCTAAGAGGCCACTTATTTTCGTGGGTTTTTTAATTTCGCTGAAATTGTGGGTACCTAATCTTCCTCCACGAATTCATAGGTCCACAAAGTAATTACAAGTTTGATGTAAAGCCGATCTCCCATTGGAGTGGGTACTCGTAATCCACAAGTTCATGTACCCACAAAATGGTGGTATGTCGGGGAAATCACAAAATTAGGGCCCCACAAAAATATCTGATTTCACAGTCCTTACCGCTGTCTTCTTATGATATGAGAAATTTTTCAGTGAATGAACTTGGTTGTTCCATGTATGCAAGTATAAGCTGTTCAACAATTACCCATATATTATAATGAGAAAGCAAACATGTGCAAAAATAGTAGTGCTTATATTGTGCTGATCATTGAAAATTATATTCATTTTAATTTCCTTGATGGTACAAGGTAAGAACGATATTATATTAATGATTATGAAGAAATAAAATAGTGACAAGCTTCAAACATATTGTCATGTTAATGCTTATCTTTAAAAGTTGTAATTAAAGAAGCATTCACGCCGATATTTAATTTAAAATAAAGGACAATAAGTGTTCTCGTGGAACACGACTGGATTACCTCCCTTTAGGTTATTCAAAATGCCAGATGTATGTTGTGCTTGTAAGAATTCAACAATATATCAAACAAAATATCGTACGTATTTTAATTTTCTATCAATCTCTTTCTTACAAAAGCCAGAAATTAAACATCTACTTTCATATAATTTGCCAGATGAAATGTGTTATGTGTAGAATAACTATCGCTGCTGCTGGGAAATTGAAGATACAAAACCATCTGGTCTTGTAAAAGTCTTGACTCCGATGTTCGTCAATGATTGAAAAAACGGTTTTCAATAGTTGAACATAGAATTGGACGTGGATGGCATCACAATGAATGGTCAAGCTGGGCTCACATTAGAAAAAATTCTGCGTCGCCAATTGGTTTTGTTCTGAACATTGTGCGACGCCAAGTTGAACTTTTTGTCACAAATAATTTTAAAAAGTGTTGCCATTTGACGATTGTTAATGCGAGCCCTAGTCCAGTATGGTGTGTTGCCTCATTTTACTAATTGTAAGTTGATTGAATGTTACTGTGTACAATAAGTTCATCTACAATTACCGACACAAAATATAAAGTGATAGCATTTTACAAGGGGAGGTAATCTGGTACTGTCCTTTTATAACTTTTATTTTTTTTATTTTTTTTTAAAGTTTATTTGTGCAGTGTTGTATAAGCAGTTGTAGGATTGTATGTTCTGTCACTTAACTAAAATTACTCGCCTTCATATTGAAAAAGCAGATTCAATTTACCACAAATCAATTCCGCCATGTAACATTTAGAATTTTATATTCATCAGGTGTACCAACATGTATGCCAAGCTTTGTCATTATAAATATACTGATATTTCAGAGGATGAAAGTTGAAATATGGCATTTTTTTTGTGACATACATTATAAAAATAATCAGTATTTAGTCTCCATTATTTGATAGTGACACCTATAAATATTGAAGTGAGAATTTCCCTTTGTCTTTTACCGGTGATTGTTAACTAACTACATGTAAAAAATAAAAAAAATGAAAAATAAAAAAACATAATGTTTTTAGCATAGTTTTGTCCAAAGTATAATTCTTAAGTACCTGATTGACAATGTTGTTGCCTACCACTGCATATAAAACAAATATGCCTTATCAAATTTAAAACCGGTACCTTGTAATCATTCACTATTACTCTCCAAATTAAGCTTAATGGAATAATCTCATGGAATATTTAAACTTGCACATTGCTAAAAAGTCTTTTAACACTTTTTCCATTGATTTTCTAATTTCTACACAACAATAATAGAACTGTTAAAATATAAAATGCTGATGATCAAGATGTCCTTTCAAAAGAATCCGACTGTTTTGAGAAGATTCTGGAGCTGAGAGTAACAAGGCCTCCCATTGGTGCTGACCAAATGAGAGATATTACAAGGCCTTCCATTGGTGCTCACTATTTGTGTTGGTTAAGAGTTCCTGTTCGATTTTCTCTCTTGCTTATGGCATATAGATTAAGTTGACTATACATGTTATCCCCAAAAATGGCCAGTGAAGTTTGTGTTATTGTGATATTCATGAATCAAATAAGAATTATTGTAAGTGATGAAATTCCACTTAGGATGGTTTAGTTTCGGAGACATGGTAGTCACCTGGTAGGAAACCGAGCTCGTGACCGAAGGGTTGCGGGTTCGAGTCACTGCACGGCACAGTGTTGTATCTTTGAGCAAGATCCTTTACTCCGCTTGTTCCAATCTACTCAGCTGTAAATGAGTATGTGGTTGGGCAGTGCTAGAATCGTAGAATGCTAGCTGTGAGCGCCGAAATGGCAGCACTGGCTGTATGCTCCCCAGGGAGTTGAGAAAGATATTGGCAGGTTGCAAAGGCCCTATAACCATGGATACTAATTTGTGAACCGTTTTAAGACGACCTACAAAACTAGGTTGTGAAATGGCGGTATATAAGAACCTCAAATTATTGTTATTATTAGTTTGGACAAATGCTTATTCCTTCCTGTAATATGGTAGATCTGACATTAACCAATTGTGTTCAGTCATTCACTGATGAATACATAATTCTTTATTAAAAACACAATACAGAATCACAGTACTCAGTAAAGAGTACATGTCACTACATGCTATTTACTATTGTGCCTAATTCAGAAACAAAGTTATTTGTAGTATTTAAACTTGGGTTTATGTTGTTTTGCATCCATTTAGCTAACTTGCTTATGTCAGAGACAAAAATTGACATACATTTTGTTTTGTGATGGAGACAAAATTAGGGAGGGGGCTTAACTGCAGGCACCCACCCTGTTCCCAGGACATTTACCAAAGTGGGGAGGGGGCTTATTTGCGGTAAAATATGGTATAGCCTAAGTAATGTCTGAATGGACACTCTGGTGGCGACTTGTCTATGACATCAACACTCTGAAGGTAATTGTCTGTGACATCATCAATTTGGTGGCGACCTGTCTGCGTCGTCATCAATCTGGAGGCGATTTGTCTGTGACATCATTACTTTGGAGATGTCTTCTCTGTGACATCACCACTTTTGAGATGACTCGTCTGTGACATCACCACTCTTTGGGCGACTTGTCTGTGACATCATCACTCTTGTGGTGATTATTTTTTTGTGACATGAAATGTGAATACTTTCATGATCATTTACTCAGTACGTAAAACATTTCCAACACTGAAAATGTCCTCTGTTTACAGTTTATTAACAGATTAGATATATTGAAACTAGGACTTTTAAAAAATAGTGATATCTTTCATCAAATCAAATTTTTGTCTACCTAATTTGGTGTCATCATGACTTGAAAAGATATATAGTACTACTGTGACAGCGAGGAGCTATCTGGTGTTGGAGTGACAGAAGGATGTACATGGATACGGATGAAGATATAGACCAGTTGTTTGTTGCACGCTCTTTCTATCCCGAATTAAAACTGTTAAATTAGAGATTACTCTGACGTATGTTTCAGATGTCCATACTCAAATGTAGCCAACAGTTTACTGTAGTTAACTGAAGCGAGTGTCTCTATGCCTATTTATGACTTAATAATGCTTGAGATATATGTTGTATATTTATGCATACTGATCATGGTATATGACTAGTTGTATATAGTACGCTCTTTACCTGCTCAATACATCAATATGTATGTCGGACATGACATGTGACTCTGACAATTAAAGTGCTGTATAAGCAACTCTTTGTTGGATTCTTTGTTAGCTTGTGTAGTCGACTTGATTGACGTCATCCTCGATACCCCAGTGGTTACGCTCACTTGATTGACGTCATCCTCGATATTCCAGTGGTTACCTCACTTGATTGACGTCATCCTCGATACTCCAGTGGTTACCTCACTTGATTGACGTCATCCTTGATACCCCAGTGGTTACGCTCACTTGATTGACGTCATCCTCGATACCCCAGTGGTTACGCTCACTTTCGCTCTGGTTTGGTCTTCCTTAACTGACGATGGTCTTTGTTCGGCCGGTGCCAGGGGTAAATGGTCGCTTACCAGACCCTCTTGTAATTCATAAAGTCCTAGACCCGTCCAGGTCATGCCCCAAAGTCAGACTGCTCTTCAGATGCGGATAGACTGTAGTCCATAAATCCAAATCCTCGATAGCCAGGGGTTACGCTCACTTTTGCTATCTACACCACTGGAATATGTCATAACAAAATTGAAGGCACGAAGATAGCTGTTTGATCTGTCTCAGGAAAAAAATACTGACCAATCGCTAGGCTGATTGATATCTGTCCTTTGAAGATTACAAAGTAGAGACAACCGACTTCAAAGCCTGTCATTTTTTTACCGTTACGTGACCGCGAGATTCTTTTGATGTACATCAAAGGATCGAACTAGTCTTCTTGTCTCATCAACAAGGTGGCGAACACTTGAGCTTTCAATTTTGCTATGACATATTACAGGGGTGCAGAGAGCGAAAGTGAGCGGAAGCCCTGGATATCAAGGATGATGGATCCATGTCTATGCGTAGTTCCCGTTTCCCTCTCATGGACCTATATATGTCGTGGCAAACTCGTACGATGAGACGATAAGACTAGTTTGATGTCGGCCCCGTAACGGTAAAACCGACTGGCTTTGAAGTCGGCTGTCCCTTCTCTGTAATTTTCAAAGGACAGGCATCAACCTAGCGATTGGTAAGTGTTTTTGCAATGACATATTTCAGGGGTGCAGAGAGCGAAAGTGAGCGTAACCCATTGAGTTTTGAAGACTTATTTGCGGCGTTCGTTAGTTTTGTTGAAAGTGGTTAAAAAAATCATTAATATATATATATTTAAAGACTTTGAACCAGGATGCAGATGTTCGGCACGGAAATTCCCAGAAGATTCATTCATTGCAGTCAAAGTAGAAAATACTTTATTATTTGTCGCCAAAATTTCTGTTGAAAGTGTTAAAGAAATTCACTTTATATCTAAATATTCAATATTTAACAAATTTAGTTTGACACGGATGTTCCTGAGAAGTCGAATAGTGTTTCACTGTTATCTTAAACCTTAAGAAAATGATAAAACTTTCTCTCGTTTTAAGTCCAGCATCATCAGGTGATGGGCTGTTAAAATCGGACTTTGTCCCTTTCACAAATCCATCCTCAATGATGCTTAATTAGTGAGCGAGCCCCAAGGTGATAAGGTAGCATTTCCCACTCGTATTCCCTGGCTGCTACAGTTCCAACGAGACAATTACTGTTCAACCGTTAGATGATTACGTTAGTACATATTTTCTTTTCTATGGTTATGTTGCAATTTCTGAAAAAATCAAATTAAATTAATTTAAAGTAAGCTTACATGCCACATGTTTGAATCTGCAAAATGCTGTATTGATGAGTAATTTGTATACTATAAGTCGAATATTTCGAGTGATGGATATTGGTAGTTGTGAGGTAATGGATGACTTAATGAGTGGAATTTATCAGTGTACATGTTAAATTGGAGTATGTATCGGTGGTAATCACGTGCAGTTATATTAATTGTGCCCTGTGACGTATTACCGCTGTTTACATCTTTGACAGTTTCGGGCTCGTGTTCATCAATAATTCTTGAATTGTTAAAGATACGTGTACCGGAAGTAGACGAATTATTGCCACCGGACAGATTTTCTTGGTTCATCGTGATCCGATTGCTCATGTTTTCAGATTCAACTTTCTCTTGAATTGACGTACTAATAGAAACCATGGTATCGGTTTTGGAAATAGAAACACAGAAATATTTGGAGTTACATTTAAGATAAGGAGAATCACAGATGGAATTCGTTGTGGTCGCTTTGCACGTGGGTCGTGGTCGATACTGCACCCCGTGACCCCATACGTCACTGAGACCGTCTAATACACCGAGACTGCCTAAACCCATAGGAGCTAGAGGAGCGTGACCTGCTCTCCCGTAAAACTCGGGAAAATCCTTTTGAGGATCGACGCCTTCTGTCCTCTGGTGTAACCGGAAGTCCTCCCAAATCTTGTCAACAAATGAATGGAGGAGATAAAAAATGGGATCGAATGCACCTATTTCAATCTTTCTCATCTGACCACCAACCCATACATGTACTCTGTTGTGGAGCGCCTCTAAGTTGGTATTTGAGCTAGCAGAAAAATAACTGATTTCACCCAGCCTTTTCTGAGACATGATCCTTTTGATGTCCGCGTCGGAAAGCAGGCGTCCCTGTGCCGAAACAAGGCGCTCTAGGTGGCCAAAGTCAAACGGAGTTTCCCAGTGCTTGAATGGACCATCGAACACTGGACCATGACCTGTTCCCAGAAAGTCCCCAGACCAGATGACCGACTGGTACGGCTTGTCCATTCGTTGGTCAAGCGTGACATCCCAATACGGTATGGTTACGTTTGGACAGGCCTGCCTCAGCGCGTTCTCCACCCTGAAATAAACAAATAAGTTCAATCATTGATCAGTTTAATTTACCCCAGATTTAGTCCCGAAGATATTTAAAATATACATATTACTTATAAATATATTAATTTTACAAGCAACGGCGCAAAAATTACCGCAGTGTATTTTTTGTCTTTTCCAATCAAATGAGAAATGAAGATTACTCGCTGGAGTTTGTGAAGACGGGTGCCACGGGACAAACTACGGAAGTGAAAAAATGACAGAAGATAAAAGGAAGGATAAAAGGTTCCAAGTGTTGTAATGAGGTCAGCGGATCAGGTCTTGTTCCTTCGATGTCCTGTTAGCAGCACAAAAAGAAGAAGGAAAACGATGCTGAAGGTGTCATATAAGTCGCCTCTTACGAGTTTATACTATACAATCCGTAACCTGAGGCGCATTGTGATGAAGCCTGCATTAATAAATGGGAAAATATATTTTATAATGAATATCTTCAGAGATTCATTTAATAGACTGCAGGTTGACCAAATTTTCGAAAACATATTGATTGTTGCAATCTCTCCCTAAATGCCAGGGATCATAGTACATTGCGTTCGAGGTCTCTGTCGGCGCAAAGGATTTTGTCATTTAGCAAGCATCTTTTAAACCCTTTTTAACCCTTATTGCTCATTCCAGTGACCCGGAATGGAGAATAACTGTGTCTGGGTAAGAAGACGCCATTGGAAGCACGGTCCCATAACAAACAGACATGCATACATATATACGGATGAGAGAGTCAAACTAGTTCAGTGGTAGAAGCGGAGGACATACTGCAAAAGCGGATTTTTTCGCGGGTGAAAACGTTCGCGTTGCGACTCTTAAACTGTTTGTGGTATTAGAATTTTCGTTTCAAATGGTTATGGAATCTATAAACATTTTGTATTCTATGTATCTATAATATATTAATAAATATTCGCGTGCAGATATGTTCGTGCTAATTTGCTCAATACAAAAGACGCGAAATTTTCCACTTTTACAATATATATCAAAAAAAATATTCAACTTTTTTTCATAATCACATTTTACTACAGTTACATGCAGTTTTTTTTTATATTGTACAATATATATACATGTATATTGTAATTTGAATTGAAAGATAGGATTTATTTTATAAATTATTATAAATTATCACAATGCTTAACACATTGAAGGTATAATGTCACTTTCAGTACTTTGAAGAATGTTTTCAAAATGAATGCACACTTACATCAGTAAGAAAACTCGGTGCCATCCGAGGAATCCCGGGCCTGCGTGCGCAGCTTTGTTCGCAGACGATCGAGAATGGATATTGGCCAAGAGATCATATTTGTTGAGGCTCACAGACTGCAACACAAATGTTATATTGAAGGAAAATGTGATGTTGGTAAAACGGAAATGCAAGTCTGATTGACGAGGATATGTGTTTTATTGAAACGAATATATGCGTCTTACTGACATGAAATCATCTTGCTGATGAGATGTGGGTAGTACTACGGGAATATGTATACACTTTTTATAAATTCATATGATTAAGGGGATTTATGCACGTCCCCGTCTGTTTTAACAGTTTAGACCAATTATGATTTATATATTTTGGTTCCCCAGCCTCACCGATGAGTCCTTGCAGGACGAAACAGCTGTATGGCACGGTGCCTGATTCGCCACGTAAAGATCAGACTTAGCAAACCTTCATTCTCATTGTTCGTCTTTTCTCAACAACTAGAATTAAAATTTACGTCATCTCGTCTTTTCATGACGACGCAAGGACATGACACAAATGGGCTTCCGTAATATGGTGCAGTGTCATTCATTTTTGGCATGTTATATATGTTACTAAATTGTATATGTGCGATCGTGTATGTTTCTCACGTTCACCATTGCAACGGGAGATAATATCGAGGTTATCACTTCCATCCAAAGTTCTGTTTGGCCCAAAACAACAATCTTTTGACATTTTACTGAGAGATGTCTGACGTCACACCAGAACATTTATATTTCAAGATGTCAAAAAACCTGTCTTCATCTACTCCCTATAATACTCTGAAGTATGAAGCCTTCGTTGAATGCCCTATACCAGGAGTTACGCCATTCTCGATACTCCAGGGGTTACGCTCACTTACGCTTGAGCGAAGGTGAGCGTAACCTCTGGATGTCGAGGATGGAGTTACGCTAACATTCGCTCTCTGCACAGAGCGAAAGTGAGCATAACTCCCAGAGTATCGAGGATGTATACCTTACTTTATTCCCTGCTTAAAATGTCAAGGATGACTAACCGTATCATTTTTGAGAATATTAAGTGCCTGGTGGAAATCGCGCCTTTCTTCGTCCGTCAAGACACGGTACTCTTTCCTGATCCGTAACTCGCCTGTTTCCGGCAGGCGCAGTAAGGAACTTAGCCACTCCACATCTTGTTTTGTAAGCGGGAACTCAAAAGCTTCCATGTCGATTTCCTGTCCCTCGGAATTAGTGGCATCCCCGGGGGTGACTATTCTGTCGTCTGTCTCTATGACCTCGACTCCTACAGTCCCGTTCGGAAAAACAACAGGTCGAATGTAGACCGCGGAAGCAATGGACAGGCACAATGTCACAGCCCACACAAGACTGTGACGTAGAGATCCAGGCTAAGGAAGGAAGTAAACAAGAGAACACTGGTCATGTGATAGGAAGGGAGTTCATGAATATTTTCCCATATTGCTAAAAACATGTAACTACGCGTTGGAAACTGATTGATTCAAACATATTTTTATTTGCATCTAATATACAAAAGGGATTTTTAATGTAAAGCCCTTTCCCAATAACATAATAAAAGATATATACAAGATGGCAATTTTTAAATTAATTAATATTTTCAATTAAGTTTAGCGTGGTCGTGATCTTCTCCGACACAGACGGCACTAGTAGCACTGTCCACTATTCATAACACTCTGCTTTTCTAATGTTCACACTTCCCATGCCACGATTGCCTTCTCCTTGTAAATTCCATTCCTTCTGGTATTTTTGTTTCACTAGTGCCGTTTGTATCGGGGAAGATCAGAAACACGACTCTTCAAGATAAAAATGAGTGTCGACTAATAAATTACCAACAGATAATATTAAAACTTATTAGAAACTGATTTTTAGACATGATTATCGCTTTGAAAAATCAGTTCAGGCAAGAAAACGATACCTTAACTTTTATTAAAAATAATAGAGATGAAAAAATAACAATTAAAAATAAAATATAAAAAAAACGGCATTTTTAGTGTAAAATATTAGGAACGGCCATGGATTCAAACCCATGACTTCCAACTGTTACACCGTCGCCCTAACCCATTGAGCTATTATAGGCTGCTTTCGTTTATCGCGATTCAAACGGCTGGACCAGAGTTGTTCGTTTATGAAATAAGGTCGAACCACGTAATTTGATGCTGCTTCTACTGCCTTCTAGGCAAGCCTTGACAAAGCTTTGCAAGGCCTACATAAATATTTTGCAAGTCCGTCAGACAAACCGGTTGTTTCGCATTTCAACGAACAAGCCCAATCGCGCTACTGTTATATTAGTCTCGTTCAACCAGACGCTTGATCACTTGTAATTCTCTATTCGGCGTAGCTTGCGGTGGCAACAAGAGTCTGGTTGAACGAGACTACTGTTATATATGGAAAAATATAACGACATTAAGGGGAGGTTACTGTGTTTAGCCTACATTGGGACAAGTATCCGAATTTCTGGATTTTTTTACGGTATATACTTAACAAACCGAAATAGTAGTTTACGAAATATGTAACTTTACAACATAATTATTCTATAAACGTTTACTACCGACTTGGCTGCGGTGAATTATCGCCAGAGCATCAAACTGGTAATTCAAATGTTCCGGGTTCAAACCCGACGGGAAATATTGAACTCCGTTACATTAGCAACTAACATGGGGACCCTGGAAATATTAACAAAAATATTCTGCGATACTCCGACAAGCCACGCTGTTATCTCTGGAAAACTCGTGTGAAGAGCTCTCTTTCTTGGAGGTGGGGAACTTTATTCACTTAGACCTAAAACAAATATATAAATAATACAATGTCTTTAATACCTTTTACGGATCCTTTCAATTTTCAAAAGAAAATATCGTTAATTATTTCTTACTAAAGGTAACTCTGGTGTAAATAGAAGCTGCTTCGTGAAGTTCTTACTGACAAATCTTCGGTGGATTCTGTTTAGCTCATTCGGAGGGCGTCAGACCAGTTAATTACAGGTCCCGGGTTCGACTCCTAACGGAGTCATTGATAAAATAATATCCTCTGTTACAAAAGTAAAAATAAATGACTTCCATGTTTTTACGGACAAAACCCTTTAGTCATTTCATCTTCACCCCCACCCCCCCCCCCCTTTAATCATTTCATCTTCACCCCCACCCCCACCCCCCTTTAGTCATTTCATCTTCACCCCCACCCCCCCCCCCCTTTAATCATTTCATCTTCACCCCCACCCCCCCCCCCCTTTAATCATTTCATCTTCACCCCCACCCCCACCCCCCTTTAGTCATTTCATCTTCACCCCCACCCCCCCCCCCCTTTAATCATTTCATCTTCACCCCCACCCCCACCCCCCTTTAGTCATTTCATCTTCACCCCCACCCCCCCCCCCCTTTAATCATTTCATCTTCACCCCCACCCCCACCCCCCTTTAGTCATTTCATCTTCACCCCCACCCACCGAATAACGGTATATTATTTGGATGTTGTATACTATAACAGGTGTTGCCATTTTACCAAAAAGAAATGATCTAAACACACCCAATATTACTCTCTTCACGCCAGGATATATATAGGTGCAATCTGCTCCCTTGTCAGATTCTAAACACGATGGATACAGTATTGTCTACTCGGGCAGGAATGTCTAGAATTTCATTAATAACGTTAAAGGAATAATAAAACGTCAACCGTGACTTACCATAACGCCCTATTCGACACCACATTTCTGTAAATTATGTCGAGTATCCATGTCAGATGCCGTCCTGTGTGGCCAAATTTATACCCGTCGCTATGACGTCATTAATATAAATGTACTTCCGTTTATCACCTGGCCCTGCGCGAGACATCCTCATAAATAAACAGACGACCGTGTCTGAGGTTGACACAACCAACTCAGACACGAATAAAAAGTAAAACTAATGTATAATATCAAGATATCAAGGCAATGAAGTGGGCAGTTTCGAGAGTAGAATATCTGTACCGATTCTGGAACCGCACGCGCCAGCATCGTTTCATGGTCACGTATTTTAATTCAAGATTGTGCAGACGGTACCGCGTTTAACTCCTTTTATAAATGTTGAATTCATAAATTTCTGAAGAAGGAATGTTTCTCGGGAATAAACCTGTGATTTATTTGCCTAACTTGGTTTTGCGTCCGAGCTCAGTGATGGCCTTAGGGTCGCCTGGCGCAATGATGGATATGGCTGTAAGAGTCATCGGTATGTTCTGTAATTCACGACGTATCATCGTTTTCGAGACATGTGGATATTCCTCAAGGCTAGTGAGATCTTCAAGCTCACTCTTCTTTTGCATGTTTAAAGATAATAAATAACGCAGTTTAGAAAAGAAAGTCGTAATTTGTGTATTGCCCTAAGTTGAAATTTGGAAAAATTTCGGACATAATTTGAAGTTCCGGCGGGTTATAGTTTCTTTCTTTCAGAACAGTCTGTGCTGCTCAAACTCATTATCACGATAGATGTTGTTTTCTTTTTAATAGCTTCTTGATTGAAAACTCCGACGGTTTTATCATAAAAGTCAGATCAAGATTGGGTCCTTGTAAAAACTATAGTTGACCATTAAACTATTGCATACACGAGTTTATGAAAGTCAGATCTATGCCTTTAGGGATGTCACAGCTCTCAACGCGCGGTATTTATATACACAGGTGCTGGATACACTAATATGAAGTGTTTATAATATATAATAGTATAGACCAATAGTATATATAGTGTATACAATTCATATTAGTATGTCAAGCACCTGTGTGTACACGTTCCGCCATTTTCTCGTTGGATTCTATGTGCAGATTTACCTGTTTTCCTATTAATTTTCCTGACTTTGCTTTTCGTCCGATTTAGATAAAATTAAGTACAAGTCTATAGAGAATTATTGAGTGTTTATATTGGTAATGTAAGTTGGTTGGGTGGCGTAGTGGATAACTCACTCGCCTTTCACAAAGGCAGCCGGTGTTCGATTCCCCTATCCCACGAGGAAAATGCACGGGATCACCTGTTCGACTGCAACATGGGTTTTCTTCGTGTACTCCGGTTTTCTCCCACTTAAGATCCCCGGGTGCGCACTAACATCTTGGCCAACAAGGGTTAACTATATCAGCTGAAATAACCTGTTGTACAAAAGATAAAGTTTATATATTGGTAATACATGCATATACAATATTATCCGTTTTTAAATCTTTGAACCATGATAAGTGAGAATATTTTACGGCAAACCTTTAACAGTGTGTCTAAGGAATTGACGTCAAATGTAACATGTATGAAGAGATGAAAAGTATTATATCGACAACATAAAAATAAAAAATTGTATCAATATTACAAATAGAAACACCGAAAAGATCTCAAGCTGGGTGCAAAATTTTATCAAAATGGGACAAAAAAGTCAGCAAAATTTATTGAAAAAAAATGTGATCTATACAGTAGAACTAAATGAAAAAATAGCATGTAGACCACCTTGAAAAAATATGGTACATCACTGTACTTTATATTGGAAGTATAGTTTTTAAGTTCCGTGATGTACTAGATCCATTATCGTCTTCTGCGGGGGTAGTATTAATCTCGTAAGAGCCAAATGGTGTACAGGCATCTGGTTCGAGAACAAATTCTTCCATCGGCAACCTTGTGAAACAAACAAAAACAAGGGACATAACTTTACAATAATTATGACGTCATAAATGTTTACGTCAAATGTTATGACGTAATGCACACAACCGGGAAATCCAAGGCGTGGTCCAGCCGAAGTTGTACACAATATAAAACATACTTGCATGCCATGCCAACCGCCAGCCAAGCCATGATCTTAAGGACGACAGAGGGATCAGATCACTTCCTTGCACGACGTCTTTATTCTTCGATGTCTCATGTGAAATCGGGAAAATCTGAAGGCATGAATAAATCGCCACCGCAAACAGCTGGAAGCATACCGACATTCCAAAAGAACCAGCCGGGCCCGCGGACATGTCCAGGGACCACACCACAACAAATAGACCTACAAGGTTTAAAAGGCAATATGTTCTTTGATCAGGACACCAAGCGTTTTCGTTGGCATGTCATATCACAGAACAGCAATATTTCAGAAGATATGCTTACAGCAACGGCAATCGACTATGATTCGCCAGAAGAAAAACCTCCCCCTCCGAAGGTAAAACTTAAGAGAAAGCTTAATCGATAGAATAGTACAGCATGATGTAGTGCGTCTGTGTACAAACCGGATACTTCGTCAGTTCGAATGTCGATAGAGGCAGTGTTTTTATACCATTCTCACTCATCTCCGCCTGCCTAGAGTATAATAAGCCTAGTATTTCTGTTCTTCCTAGAAGTTCAAGCGATAAACACACACATAATGCGACCCCAACACTATCTTCATACCAACATGCCCCAAGAACACGACACGCACACCCTAAGCTTACACCTACAGAGACACCTATGCTACCAGGTCTATGCTCATTTTTCCTTCACACCGTCACACAATGGAACCTCCTACCGGTAGCAGCAGTACAATGCACAACACTGAAGGGCTTCAAGGCTCATATCATATTCCATTATATACGACAGAATCGTAGGTTCGCGGTTATACTTATTAGATTGGTTCCAGACAGCTTCAACTGACAAAGCGCAAAGCTAATTTACTTTACAGGTTATCAAAGAGATATCCTTACATCAAATCAGGTAAAAATTGCGATAGCGCTGCCGAACGATTCGCCTTTATCTTTAACCAAACATCACTCTGCTACCATATGTATGCAATACTATGTACGTAACATGTAAACCCGTAGAACACATCATAACAAGCGCCACAATGACACATCTGGAGAACAACAACATATTATATGACCTACAACACTGCTTAAGATCCTCAGAACCTGTGAAACACAGCTCACAACATTCATACACGATCTCGCATCAAACAACAACATCAACAAACAGACAGACATCATCATTATTGACTTTGCCAACGTTTTTGACAAAGTCCCACACAAACGACTACAGTATAAACACAAATATTACGGGATAACAGGGAACACACACGCATGGATTACAGACTTTCTCTCATTCCGCACCCAAACAGTAGAACTGGAGGGCAAACAATCAGATACAAAACAAGTAACCTCTGAGGTTCCTCAAGGACCCTGTTTGGGCCCCATCCTCCTCCTCATCTACATCGATGACTTCCACGAATACATGCAATACAGTACACTGAGACTCTTTGCAGACGACAGCATCATATATACAAGACGATAGACAACAAAGAAGACACACTAAAACTACAGCGTGACCTTGACGCAGCAGGACAATTGGAGACAGACTGGCTAATGGAATGTCACCCTGACAAATGCAACACACTCAACATTACACCGAAACGCAACAAAATACACCATGACTACAAACTCCACAATCACGCATTACACCAAGTAGAATCCAGCAAATATTTAGGCTTAACATTACAAAATAACCTACGATGGGACAAACATATTAACAACATTACAGCCAATGCCAATATGTCCCTAGGTTTTCTAAAACGCAACTTAAAAATAAACTCACCTCATATAGAAGAACATGCATACAAAGCACTAGTCAGACCAAAACTTGAATACTGCTCTTCCATTAGGATCCACACAACACAAACCAAATAGAAAAAACACAACGAAGAGCAGCACGCTACGTAAACAACAGATACCACAACACCAGCTCAGTAACAGACATGATCCACAAACTACAATGGCCAACACTACAAACACGGCGCTTGCACACAAGAATGATCCTTTTTTACAAAATTGTACACCAACTCGTAGCTATAAATCCAAGATGTATATACTCACACCCGTAGACCCTCAAACCAGACATGCACACCCTTAGGCATACAAACACATCTGCTACAAAGGACACCTACAAATATATATTTTTTTCCACACACAATAACACAATGGAATCTCCTTCCAATAGCAGCAGTACAATGCACAACACTAGAGGACTTCAAGGCAAACATACCCTATGCAGCCCTTGAAGCCCTCATCACACGCTAAAACGTACGCCAGCTTTTACCTTTTATCTATACCCTGCACACACAAAAAATAAACCCAACTAATCACTGTAAATAACCATCTTTCAGGCTAGTTACAAGTAATTCATTTGTATGGTGGCGCATGCAGGATCGGAACTTCGATTAATGTATGTCACGAGAAATTCCACGGACACGAAGAAGATCAATATCGCGAGCGGATCCCTTGAAATTCGATGACGGTTGATTCATTATCAGACCCCCGTGCGTAAAATGATATGATATACCGCTTTTCATAAACGTTTTCATGGCAAGCCAACTTAATATTTATTCAAGGAGCAATTTAGAACCTGCATTTCATAGAACATCTTCGCTAGTCAAAGGTTATGGCCCGATGAACGTGTAAGTGAGCGTAACCTCTAAAGTATCGAGGATGTTCATGGAATTACACACGAAATTTTATGCATAATTAGTATTATATAATATCAATTAAAGACGTAGCCATTACTCAAAGAGTAAATAATCGGATAACTGTTTTCAATCAATATCTTCTCTAGATCAGTAGCAAGCCAACGAAGCTCCTTTCGCGGCGTGGTGAAATGGCGGGTAGGAGCACAGCAGCAGACGACAGGAGCATACCTATTCAATACGGAATGGACGAGAAGTCCTACGGGAGACTTGAGGAGCTCGGTTTCCGGAGGAGGTTTATCGCAGCCCCTACCAAAGTTGCATCTGCCCCCAGGGCCTCAATAATCCCCAATTACGAACCCACAGAAAAAGCCAGCAATCCCAGCATGCACCACACAGTACGACTCCACATACCTCACGGCAGCACACCAAACTTTGAGGTTCCACACTTCGATGGTGATGAGTAGGTATCTCCGGAAAATTTGATAAATAAAACTACCCTTCCCCAATACACATTATCAAACAAGTTTGGCATCAAGACAAAGTCTCGTAGTATCAATAAGATTGACTTTTTAATTGGTGGAAAATGTTCGACAAGCAAGCACTTCAAGTCTTGATTGGAATACCACAATGCTGTTGAAAAAAACCGGTTTGAGTCCCAATTTTCTTACCCGTGTTGTACTAAGAATTTCTGGATAGTTTTGAGACGGTTTTAATGAAATGTTATGCACTTTTACGATTATCAAATCATAAAGACGCTACGCTACGGCTGGACGCCAATGGGTTATTGTGTCACCCGATTAAAAAACCCACCATAAACATGTATTCATAAGTTTTGATTTTTTTTTCTCTCCAGATATGCTGACGAACACGTGGTCAATGAGAAAACCTTATCGCTGATTGACGATATCAAACAAAAAGTCGGATATGATAAGCGCATTTTCCCAACCATGTACATGCGGAAGTCCTACCCGAGGGAACAACCACTGTCTTTGTGTTTCAGTCTCCGCGACGATAGGTTATCACACGCTACAATTAAAAGATGGATTGAGAGAGAAACTGGTCTAAAAGTAGCAGCCATCCAGTATGACCCCGTGTCTATCAGGGCGGGGGAGCACCTCAATATCGGAAGTCGGTGGGTCGTTACCATGACAACACTAGAAGACTGTCGGAAGTTGTTGCAGCAAGGACTTGAGGTGGATGGCGAGAAAGTGATGGTCCGGTGGTTGGATGATATTTGTGTGTGCGAATTTGACGCTTACAAAATATATTGCCAGGATCAAAAACAAACAAAAATAAGAAACAAGAAGAGAAAACCTAAATCTGAAGCAACTTTAATAAAACAATGCTGAATTTTTACACGTGCTTTTGGTTTGTGTGTGCTAACGATAGACTCTTTGTCTCTTAAGCAATGCGAGACACACGGCTCAAGTTTTAAAATGAGGTAAAATAGAAGTCAGATTACATCACTTCCGGGTTTTCAACAATAAAATATTACAACACTTCCGGTTTTTGAGCAATTAAACTCGGATATATTTCCATTCTTTCACATCAGTGGCTAATGGCATGCAATTAACATATATTCGTACTACAATGGACTAACGATTCCTACTCGCTATGTTTTATTCGCGTATTCTTGCTATTTTTACCAGATCATTTAAATTGAACGAACGACCAGGGATAGTGTTCTATAAATAGCTTCTTTCGAACTTCCGTGTAAAATATCGGCCGAAGATTAATCGAAACCGAGGTCATTTTTTTCAATTATGCTGATAATTAACCTTAACAGTGCTGTTATCTCAAGAAGCTTACGTATGCCCCTCTTATCCTACCGTCCGCCAACTCATACAACAGGAAGTTGACACACGGATTGCACATTCCGAGCCAACCATGACAATTTTAAATGTATTAAACGGTTTAATTAAATTGTTATACTCACCTAGGATTAATAATCTTATCATTTCTATTTTCCTTGTAACTCTTGAATTATGTAGATCAACGAATTGAATTGTACTGTGTACTGAATGATTGCATTTTTCTTGACCTGCAGCTGACTATTTTGTAGTTTGGAATTAAGCCGACAAAAAATGAAATAATATTTCAAGACACTGGGCAATATGTTCTAAATTCACCAACACACACAAACACACATAAACACACACATCGCCCACCCTCCACTTTTCTATAGAAATTGTACGTTCTTGGTATTTATTATACATGTTGGTAATAGTCATCAATCATGTTTATCTTAAATGTTGCCAGTCGTGTTTTTAGCTGGTCTTCCCAGAATACAAACGGCACTTGTGAAACGAAAACTCACCGTTGTCGACGTCACACTATTAGTCTCCGTCTACTATTGACGCATATACTGATGGAATAGCCCGCGTCTACACCAGACATGTATCTGTCAAAATTACTAAGTCTGGTGTCAGGGCCAGAGGAAACACACACCAAACATATGTCTGTCAAAATGCCTTAGTCTGGTGTCAGGGCCAGAGGAAACTCGGGCTACTGGTGAAAATGGAAAGCTAAAGGTGTAGGCAGTCGTGGCACGGGAAACGATGAACTTTTGAAAAGCTGGGTGTAATGAATAGTGGACCGTGTTATTAGTGCCGTCTGTGTCGTAGAAGATTATTACCACGATCTCACATTAAATCTGATCACATTAAATATATGTAATATTTAGTATATGTGTCCCTCCCCCCCCCCCCCCCCCCCCCCCCCNCTCAACGTGATTGAAAATATCAATTAAATTAAATTTTGCCATTTGCATATATAAAATAATGTATATTATAATATGCTTTTGTGAAGAGACTCTTTTTTTTTTATATAAATTGGACAACTTGTGCCCTTTCAGATGCAAATAAAATATTAAAATAAAAAATAAATAAAATCACGCGAACTTTTGAACGCGGACTTATGAACGTTCAGCATTTATTTTGTCAATTTGATGACCGAGATTCGTTTTTTATTTGTTCAAATATTTATTTATTAAAAAAACATCATTCACCAGCGTTGTAGGGCATCGGTGGCTATATACACACAGGCGACAGGAATAAATCATGTCGCTTGCCATTATGCAGTTTTACAGTATTACTAGTAATGCGATGATCTGCCCACCCAGCCATATGTTGTCTGTGCGGGCCTACATGCACCTTAACATGACAGAATGGAACAATCGCCCTTACTGTACTAAGTGAAAAACCTGGGACGATTTGTTAAGTGGTGAAGCGAGGTCAGTCGCTGCTGTCAGATGCGTTGGCCTTGACATTCAATCTGGACGTATAGACTGTGGTCAGTATTGTGTCCGCAGCTATATAATGGGCCGGAATGCCGCCTTTGACAGCTTCAAGCGATCACCGGACAATGGATGTCTGACACAGAACGCGAGGAGCCTGACCAGACGCTTGTGTAACGCTTGAACCAAGGTCATGGCTACATCTGACCGCCCTTTCGGTCATAGACACGAGACACCACTCCGGCCACGGTCGCCTTTAGTGTTAACGCAGTCCTCGATCAGTGTCGACGCCATGTTAGTGTTGGGACCGATTGTCCATAAACATTGTTATACATAGAAGATAGTGTGTTCTCTAAATTGCTGGTTATTTTGGTGCAACAAGATGGCGTACTTTTCTGGAACACTGATCGGATATTTGTCTATATCACCGCTTGTTTTGATCGGATGTGTGATTACTTTGTCGCTGATTTGGGCTTCAAAAAACCGGAAGTTGGCCTCCACGGCGCCTGGGCCGTTTCCTTGGCCTCTTATTGGGAATTTGGTAAGTCTCGGTAAAAAGCCTCATAGATATTTGACAGAACTTCGTGCTACATACGGGGATGTGTTCCAAATTACGATGGGAACTACCCCGACCATTGTGTTAAACGGTCTCAAAACTATACGATCGGCCATGATCAAACAGGCCGAAGACTTCGCCGGCCGACCTGACTTTTATTCCTTCAAATTCATAGCAAATGGAAAGAGTATGGGATTTGGAGACTATGGGCCTCGCTGGAAAATGCATCGTCGTATCGCCCAGAACTCGCTGGCCCTGTTTACCAATAAACGAAACAGTCCCATAGAAATGGCTATTGTGTCGGAAGCGGACGTTCTGACTAGCAATTTCCTTGGATCAGAGGGCGCCCCCTTCGACCCTCACAACGAAATTTATCTGTCGGTTGGCAACATCATCTGCGCTTTGTGTTTCGGTAAACGTTATCAGCGAGATGACGAAGATTTTACACATCTTGTTAAGATGAACGACGAATTCATGGCGTTTGCAGCGGCAGGAAACCCAGTAGATATTATGCCGTGGATGAGGCACTTTACGAAAAGTTCATTCAACAAGTTCATCGGTATCCTAGAAACCATGAACAAATTCAGCTTGAAAAAGCGACAGGAACATTTGGACACGTATGACGCGTCTCACATGCGGGATATAACGGACGCTCTTATTAAGGCGACGGACGACATCCCTGATGAGGACAAGGAGGCTGTGGGACTTACGGACGAGCATATCCTCACCACAGTTCAAGAACTCATCGGCGCAGGGTTCGACACCATCGCCAGTAGTTTACAGTGGTCAGTGCTGTTCATGGCCACACATCCGGATGTTCAGGAAGCTGCGCACGCAGAGATCCGGGAAAAGGTCGGTGTCAATCGCCAATTGTCGTTTGATGATATTGATATTCTGCCCTACACAGAGGCCTGCATGTTGGAGATTCTGCGCCACTCTTGTATATTTCCGTTTGCACTGCCACACAGCACCACTCGCGATACGATCCTCGACGGACATTTCATCCGGGCAAACACCCTCGTCTTCGTCAATCTCTGGTCCGTGAACCATGACCCGGAAGTGTTCAACAATCCCAGTCAGTTCGACCCCACCAGGTTCCTAGATTGTGACGGAAATATCGACAAGAACACCGCGGACCTTTTCCTCCCGTTCGGTGCAGGAAGGCGGAAGTGTCCAGGAGAATTACTTGCAAGGATGGAACTGTTTTTGTTTTTCTCGTCGATGATTCAAAAATGTTTATTTGAAATCATTCCCGGAAAGGAACCAGTAATCGATAGTAAATACGGACTTACGCTGAAACCGTTGGACTTCAAGGTGGCCGTGTCAGCTAGGCGATAAACAGCTGTTCTAGTATGGTGCTCATGTATTACGAGAGGTATATATGTCGTTATGTTATACCGTATGTGGGATATCAGCTTTTTGTTATTGTAATTTTAACAATTCACCACTATTAAAAGCAAGTGCCTTTATTAAACACATGTTTTTATCGTGTTGCAAAAGTCAACGAAAAGCTCACCTGCATTGTTACCTATAGTACTGCAAAGTTATTTAAAAATGATGGAATATTTAAACTTTGAACTTCATATTTTCACGCTTTATATAATACTTAGATTACATGCTGCTATAACTATTAAACATGAGAAAACTTGAAGGATCGTTTTGTTTCTGTCATTTGTGGGAGATCGGTTTTGTGTAGCGTGGTTGTGTAATAATAAAATAGGGTAACACGTAAAATGACAAGTCGCCTTCACCTTTCTAGGCGGGCACAGAACCGTTAAAATAAAAAACGCCAGGGACGTAACGGACGGTTTTCATGTAACTTGGGCCTTTTCCAGCACGACTATAGATTTGATAATAAATTTCTGAAAAAGTAGTCTCTGATAAATAGAATGACGTCGACAACGGTGAAAAGGACACCTTTCAGAACTTATATGAGAAATGATAAAAATGAAATTAATAAAATATAATCAGCAACGGTGTTTTAAGTGGGGGCTAGACCGGGGTTCGAAAACTACTTCAGATTGTTATACTATTAACTGTTTTAACCAATAGAGCTATCTAGACAACGGGAGTGTCAATGCATGCCCAACTGTGCTACAGTTATATCCAAACCGAGGTTAAAGGGATGTTACTGTATAAACGAAAAAAACACAGTGCATTGGGACAGGGATCATTAGGGACATATCTACCAGCTGTGTCGATCCCCTATATGAATATGGACTCGCCTGTTATTAGTATGGTAATCGGAGGTCAATACGACAGGTCATTTTGGCCGGACTAGACCGTTCATTATGATGGTGGTTGTATGCCTCACGGGTATCTGAGCCGCGGTACAGAAACTTGTCATCCGGTCTTTTTGGCAAAAACACAAATTTTATGCAGATTCCTATGGTTAATTGAAGTAGAAAATAAGTAGAGATCTACAATACACAGTCGAGGATGTGTATCGTATACCCTCTCTGTTTCAAGGTAGCTACCTATGATGTAACGTTAATTTTGGCAATTTGGCTAAAACTGACTTTATGGAAATTGTTTAGCAAAAACAAAAACAAAAACTTCCTTACTAATCAAAGCACATGTTGATGATGGTATTTGTTTCCGAATCTCCGAATCAACAATCAAGATTATACGTGTCACTAAACTGGCCAGGGATTTTAGAGGATTGTTTTACTAAGAATGGCTAAAATTTCATCAGTGGAATTTGTTTTGTTGAATAGTTCTCGGTCAACTAGAGGTCAGTTTGGATTCAGTAACGGCCGTTCGGTCAAGCCCACTGGAGGACTTATACAAGTTTGAAGTTTCGCCGATGAAACCTAAGCAGATGTTAACATTTATTTTAGATATTTGACCCCTATATGACTGGCAGTTGGATGGATGGTTCGTTTGAATATTTTAACATACTCTATCCACATGACGTTTAAACTGGAACATTTTACTTCTAAAAACCAAACGTTTCACAAATTAACAGTGCTGTCACATAAATCCCAGTGAGTCACAAATCATCTTTGTCATGATTTAAAACATTTATTTTACCTATGTTGGGTTCACTTATCTTATAGTATGCGATTGTATGTATCAACTACAGTGCAGTATCACTAAGTCACGATTAAAGACATCCCCCCCCCTCTCTCTCTCTCTCTCTCTCTCTCTCTCTCTCTCTCTTATATGGTTTAAGTTTTGTCATTTATTACACATAGTATTCATTTTTAGCTTTGTAGTGTTGTCATACGCTTGTCGGTAATTAAGGAGACAGATTCATATAAGTATTTAAATACTTTTTTTTTCTTCTGAATCCTGTACTTATGTATTGTGTGTATGACATGAACAAAATAAAATAAATAGGGTATAAACTAAACTGGAATTCATCAAGATCTCATTACCATGGGGCTCTCGCGATCGGTTGACCTTGAATGCGAGATACCCTTTGTGTTAACAAAATGACATCCCTTGAACAGTTACTCTAAATTAATGTATTTTAGATATGTCGAACCATATATAAAGTCTATTTCAGACGTAGGCCACAGGGACCTGAGCATTTGTTACAGCGATATTTGGACCTAAACAAAGGTGTTCAGAGTAATTTCACACGTTTTAGGGGTTTAGATCGACTTTCGGTAAAAATGACACCGCAAGTGATCAACACGAGCTACACCAAAACGTGTTAAATTACTCTGAACACATTAGTTTAGGTCCAAATATAGCTGTAACACATTCTCAGGTCCCTGTGACGTAGGCTACCTGTTCTCATTCCTAATGTCTTGTTCCGTTTATGCATATGACTTCTTGATTGTTTGATATGATTTAAGTGAGTTACAAGAAAGCTGGTTTGAGCACGAAACCCATGCTTGAGCATGAGAACGGTTTCATGAAAAAGGACCAAGGATTCGAATACCGGTTTAGCCACAATGCACATTTCATTTTCAATATTTTTCATAAAATCTCGCATGGTATTGTTGGTTTTTCCCCCCAGATATTATTTATCTAAGCTATAGGCAAACCAGAACGAACATTTTCTAATTCATGGTTTAAATGTTTGGCTGTGGTACCGGGATCCTCAAGTAAACAAGAGGCCCAATGGGCCTGCATCGCTCACCTGGTATAAATCGCACACTTGTAACCTTAAAAGTGATCTAAAATAAAGCTACAGGCAAAATAAAATATCAGTATTTATGATTAAAATTCATTCAAAAGAACCTGTTATTTTTTTTTTTAAACATTTCACCCCTGTGATTGAAAGTCGAACAAAGTCATTATGTTGAACAAATTTAATAGCCTTTCATCTCAGGATGCAACTTGCAAAGTATCAACATCCTGGGACCCATGGTTATTCAGAAGAGGTCGTTTATCCCAGCATGCTACTGACTAAATATCAACATCCTGAGCCTTTTGGTTATTCAGAACAATGGTTTTTTTTTAGTTTTTTATATTTTGAACATATTTCCTCCTTGTGACCTTGAATATGATTCAAGGTCATACATTTAAACAAACTTGGTAGCCCTTGATCCTATTATGCTACTGACTAAATATCATCACCCTGGGCATTTTTGGTTATTCAGAAGAAGTTGTTTGAAGTTTTTAACATATTTGACCCCTATGACCTTGAATATGGGTGAAGGTCATTCATTTGAACAAACATTGTAGCCCTTCATCTCAGCATGCTACTGGCCAAATATCATCACCCTGTGCATTTTAGTTATTCAGAAGAAGTTGTTTAATGTTTTTAACATATTTGACCCCTGTGACCTTGAATATGGGTGAAGGTCATTCATTTGAACAAACTTGATAGCCCTTTACCCCAGCATGCTACTGGCCAAATATCATCACCCTGTGCATTTTGGTTATTCAGAAGAAGTTGTTTAATGTTTTTAACATATTTGACCCCTGTGACCTTGAATATAGGTGAAGGTCATTCATTTGAACAAACTTTGTAGCCCTTCATCTCAGCATGCTACTGGCCAAATATCATCACCCTGGGCATTTTGGTTATTCAGAAGAAGTTGTTTAAAGGTTTTTTAAGACAATTGACCCCTGTGACCTTGAATATAATTGAAGGTCATTCATTTGAACAAACTTGGTAGCCCTTCACCCAAGCATGCTACTGGCCAAATATCATCTCCCTGGGCAGTTTGGTTATCGAGAAGAAGATGTTTAAAGGTTTTAACATATTTGACCCCTGTGACCTTGAAAATGGGTGAAGGTCATTAATTTTAACAAACTTTGTAGCCCTTCATCCCAGTTTGCTTCTGGCCAAATATCATCACCCTAGGCCTTTTGGTTATTAAGAAGAAGTCGTTTTAAGTAAAATATTGACGCCGGACGCCGGACGGACGGACGGACGGACGACGGACGACGCGCCACGGCATAAGCTCACTTGGCACTTCGTGCCAGGTGAGCTAAAAAAATTCTTCAGCTTGGGCCTGTTAATTTATGCCGAACAACCGGTTTGTCCGTTTTTAAATGTAATGTGTTTAGGGTATAAATCCTGGTGTACCTGCAAATATATCTGCACGCCTTGCAAGGCTTTGTCAAGGCTCCCCTGAAAGCAGTATCAGAATACTGACATTATTTAACAAGAGGCCCAGAGGGCCTGTATCGCTCACCTGGATATCCAAGCAATCATGACAAAATATTCTCCAAATGTGATCCAAGGGAATATGCCAGACCCCAAGGCCAATCCTTGTAGCATATCTGAATTTGATTTTTTATGCCCAGCAATTTTATGTATGGTTATGGGGTGGGGATCTCAACTGTTTCCAAGCTGTGACTCAGAAACTATGTCCCTAGGGTTGTGGCCAGACCCCAGGATCAATTCTAATATCATGACTGCATTCGTCTCTTTATGCCCAACAATTGTATGTATAGTTTTGGGGTGGGGATCTTAACTGTTTCAAAGTTATGACCCATTGGGGTTAAGTCTCCAAGGGTGGGGCCAGACCCTAGAGCCATCCTGGAAGCAAATGTGCATTCCTCTCTTTATACTCAGCAATTGTATATATGGTTATATGGTGGGGATCTCAACCATTTCCAAGTAATACATTTTTTTTTGGCCCCACCCCGTAGCCCGGGGGGTCAGCCCCCCCATTTGTACCATTTTGAATCCCTGCCTCCCATGAATGCTTCCAACCAAATATGATCAATATCCATGGTATAGTTCTACGAAAGAAGTCGTTTATGGCAATATAGCCAAATTGCCCCCTTTTGGCCCAGCCCTCAGCCCCCTGGGGGGTCAGCCCCACCATTTAGTTGCTTAAAGCAATATACCACCTAGGGATTCTTCAGTCAAATATGGTTGATATCTATCTCTTAGTTCCAGAGAAGAAGTTGCTTAAAGCAATATAGCTAAATACCCCTTTTTGCCCCGCCCCTCAGCCCCCACGGGGGTTAGCCACACCATTTGTACAATTTTGAATCCCTGCCTCCCATGAATGCTTTTGATTAAATATGATTGATATCCTCAGCATAGTTCTACAGGAGAAGTCGTTTATAGCAATATAACCAAATCGCCCCCTTTTGGCCCAGCCCTCAGCCCCACCATATGTACAATTTTGAATCCACACCACCTAGGGATGCTTCTAGTCAAATATGGTTGATATCCATCTCTTAGTTCCAGAGGAGATGTCGCTTAAAGCAATATAGCCAAATTGCCCCCAT